TCCCTAATCCGCAGACCTGCTTCCTTTCACCCTCACACCTGTATTACACCAAACTCACCCCTTAGACTTCACTGCAGCACGTCTAGATTTGTGCCATTAGTTTTAGGAGGTGAATCAGGCTCAATTTCAGGAGCAGCTCATTTTTTAAAATTTAAATAGAGCAATATAAATAAATCTCTTACAGTTGCTAATACCAAGTCTGAGGTGTTAAATTCAGATCCGTCTTCCTTAAATTTTGGAGCATTTGGGATCTGAGTCTACCCTTACGGTTCAGACTGGCTTATATATAGGACTACTGATGTCAAGGTAGAAAGAATTTGGGGTGTTACACAACACAGCTTTAGCGATAACAATCTTTTCTCTGCTCAGGGTAGAGACTAAATCACGTCCTTTGTGTCCTGTCTCAGCAGATGTGGTAAAGATATTGCCTGTGACGTTTTCAGTTGAAGACTGTTTTAGGAGGAGATGTGCAGATGATTGTGCAGAAAGCACAAACAAAATGCATACGGTCTGAGTGCAAAGAGGACAGCCACAAACATGGAGCAAAGTGTTTGGTACTGAGGGCACTTTCGTTCTGGCTCTTGCAAGGAGATGCAGTTTAGATCCAAGCTGTGCGCTGCTAGCTGCTTGGAAAAGCTTTAACCGATCTCTGCCAAACTCCTGCAATGCAGCCCTGAATTCATCCCTTTCTTTTTTTTTTCTTTTTTTCTTTCTTCTTTTCCGTTTCACAAGTGGCTGATTGATCGCCAAGATCTTGGAGGGAAAGGTCAAGGCTGCTCCATCCTCCATGCGTGGATAATCCCATGACTGATAGGCTGACACTGTGGAGGGCCAAATGCTTTCTTCTACCTTCCTACCTCCCCCTCTCCCCAGTGGGCAAGAAAAGCCTCACGTGATGGTGTCTCCAAACCCAAGGGCTGGAGAGACTTGCAATGAGCTCACCCACTTAGTCACTACACACTAAACATTAAACTTGGCAAAAATCACCTTTTCAACCAGCCTTTCTTCAAGCTAAGTCACTGCCAAGGTATTGTCAAGAACGAAGTACTAGCACTGTGTACAAATCTGGAAAAAAGAGCATGGAGGAGGAGACGAATTTCTTTTTCTGTAGAGTGCAGAGCCAGTCCAATGGCTGCGCCTGGGTCTCTCATGGGTTGCAGTTCAAGAGTACTTTTTCTTTTCTTTACTTTACTTTTCCTGGTTTTTGGTCTTTTTTGTTATTAGATGGGGTCTCTTGTCTTATTCCCCAGCTCAGAGTAATCCTGAAGAGGGAGGATCAAGAGCTCCTCAACCATCTGCTCCCGCCAAGGTCTGATCAACTGCATCCAGACCCTCTCTAACACATTTCTCTCACCTGTTCTTAAAAGCATTGGGCAAGGGGGTTTCCAGCGCTCCATCTGTTCCTCTGCTTGGAGCAGCCACGGGCCTGGAGAATGTTCTCCAGCTTCTGACCTGAATCTTCCTTGTTTCTGTTCAAGCTGATTACTTTTTGACATATCCTCAGTAGACAAACAATTAATTATAATTCTCTTCAGAACAACCGTTGTCAGGGTGGCATCTTCCCACTTCCTTATTTCCTCTCTTCTAAATCAGCTTGTCTCTTTTGGCTTTGCCTCTTAGGTCATGTTTTCTAAGCTTGTTTTCCTTAACGTATCATTTACATTACTTTATCGTTCTGATGAACGGTGCCCTTCACTGGACACTGTGCTCCATCAAAGGCTCACCACTGGCTATTGCAGAAGAACAAGTCCTCTCTGCTCACCCACCATTCACGTTGTGTCCCCAAGTGATATGTTTTCTTGATATGATCTTCTTCTATATCATATAAATCATTCTTAAACGATACGTGGGCAGGACTTGAAAAAAGTCAAACATTATCACTGATTGCTTTTGCTGGAATTTTTCTCCTGTTTCTCCCTGACTAGTTAAATATCCCTTCCCTGAAGGTCTATCTCATCAGAAGGTCCAACAGCTTTCCAGAGATAAGCCAGTAGAGCTTCCGGACGCTCTCCATTTCAGTCTACAATTGCCTCACTGCGAAGGTCCCTTGCTAATCCTCTGCTCTTAGCTCAGCCTGTGACCCAAGGGCATCCTTCCTGCAATGCCACAAATGGGAGGCAGGATGGTGTGTTTGCTCTATGGATTCAGGAGGCCTCTAGGCACAAGTGTCATCTTCTCCTTTTTATTGAAAAATAACCCCCCAGCTTGTTAACTGCTGTGAGACCTGCATGTACGTAGCTTATTTCATCTGGGTCCTGGTACACAGGTGTCCACATCACAGAAACCTTCCCAGATGGTGCTTATGTTGACTCCCTCACTGGAAAAGCCAAGGACTCAGTAGGGGTGAAAACTGAACTGCTTTTGTACGCTTTTAAATCAGTCCTTCCAGATGGTCCTAGGAACAGTAAAAGGTAGACACAGGGGTCTCAGCTGTGCTCAGGCCTCTGCACCATGTTCACAAAGGACAGTTCTCTACCTGATGTCACCGATCTGGCAGGTCCTGGCTGCTACCTGAACATTAGTTTTTAAAATAAGATAGAAAAAAAAAAAAGGAAAAAAAATGCTGAAGAGCTCAGGACACAAGCAGATGAAACAGTTGGTTTTCAGAAACTCCTGGTTCTGCTAGACGAGGTGCATGGACCAGTGCTTTTCCATAAGTCACAGCACAGTGGATGGGAAATAAAGTTACTCTTGTAAACAAGAAGCAAGTGCAGGTGATAAGTATTGGAAAAATGTTATTAAAATACAGGCTAATACTTCTTTAGTAATTTTCTGTTCTTTGCTTGATTTTCTTCAGCTAAAAGCTGTGATTTTCTTCTCATGAAGCCAAAAAAGTCAAGACAGTCTGACAGACTGACAATGCGTTTTTCTCTGGGAAAAATCTGGGTGATGACTTCAAGACTTGGTCTCTGCTTTATAAGATAATTCCTGTATCCCATTCCTCTGTTGATGCTGTTGACTTCACTCCATCCTCCTTTTCAGGTACGACAGCTTTGGGCGCCTGACCAACGTGACCTTCCCTACTGGTCAAGTGAGCAGCTTCCGCAGCGATACCGACAGCTCCGTGCATGTCCAGGTGGAAACCTCCAGCAAGGATGATGTTACGATAACAACCAATTTGTCAGCATCAGGAGCCTTCTACACCCTGCTCCAAGGTGAGTTGGGCCTCTATCCCTCTCTCAGCCAAGCTGCACGCAATGGATTATCCATCAGGAAACAGGCATCGTCTTGATAATCCCAGCACCAAAAATCACCTGCATCCTCAGCTCCCCAGAGCTCCCCACATGCCGGTACAGATGCACACTCACACCTACTTAGCCACATTCCCTAGTGCCGCGGTTGCTCTGCAGCTGTTTTCTGCTTCATTCTCAGCCAGTCCCCTTGCCGTGCAGCCCTTATGCTGTACAGTCCTCCATCATCATTACCATTATTGTTATAACAAAAAGGGTTGCATAAATCTAGCCACTCTTCCAGCCGACCCCTTTGCTTCGTTCTCTTAATGGCTTCTGACTTAACAGTTACTCTCCTGGAAGAGGCTTCCAGCTGGTTGCTGGAGATCTCTGATTCTTTGTTCACTGGCTGTTCAAACATTCACAAGGCAGCATCCAGAAAAATGACCATCCTTGACCCCAGAAGGTCTGTGTTTGAGCTAAAGGGCTGGTGTGGAGAGGCACAAAGGAGGATGGAGAGGTGGGCAGCCAGGGTAGGACTGGTGGGACTGGTTTGCGGCTGTTGGAAATGAGCATAGTTCTGCCAGTGATGGCAGCGTTGGGGAAATGAAGGATTGATGAGGTGGAGGAAAAGGTGATGAAGTGGGAAAGAAAAGAGGGATAAATAGCAGGGGAGCACTGTGCTGACATACTGGTAGGGGCAGAAGTTGTAGTGCACAAACCATGCCAACCTGGATGTCCCAAGTTCTGAAGGCTGAAGCCTCCTTAGGGTCAGGGTGAGCCATCACTCCTGTTCCCTGGGGCTTGGAGAAGGGAAAAAGACCATCAGACTCTCTGCTTTTTTCACTCCACAGCTCTCATCCACTCGTAATCTGTGCCTGATGGCAATGGAGTGTCAAACATCATTTCCCCTTGTGAGGAACAAAGTGCTCCAAGTGAGACCAATGTGTTCCAGAGTCACATTTGTTCCCACATCTCTGGGACACACATTCTGCGCCCCCCCCGCTATAATAACAGCCAGCTTTCCTTAAAGAAAGTGCCTGCTATGCCTGAACACTGCCTTTCCTGCCTCTGGAGAGGACAGCTGAGAGGGTGCCAGCCCCTTCAAGCCGTACTCACTATTCCTGCAGGGGAACACAATGACTTTCTTATTCTTTACTTCAGCCTGCAAAGCAGATCCAACCCACCCCGCCCCATCCCATCCGCTCGCATTAAGACGTCTGGCAACTGCACAGACACGAGGTTGGCTTCACCTCGAGAGCCTAATTAAGCAATAGAGCCCGCTGTTGGGGGCCCTTTAGTGAGATAATTGACTGTGATGTGATTTATACACCCAGAGCCGAAGGCACAGTTACATAATGGTGCCACGGTCAATTATCTCATTGTACTGCCCTCCAGCACAGGGGCACTCTTGCCATTAGGACACGCACTATTACAAACAGCTTAACCATCTTCAGAAGTATAAAATTACAAAACTGTTTGGATCTGAAGAAACACACTGATCTTAAAATGAAGATCTGGATAACATCGCAGCAGAGGTGGCCTGCAACCTGCTGAGGGTGGCTTTCGCACAGGTGTTAGGGACCGTGAATTCCCAAACTGAGGTGGCTGGTTGTTCACGGCAGCACCAGAAACTGAAACAAGGGCCACTGGAGTTGCCCAGCGATGTATTGAGCACAGCTGAAATGAAGTTGCCTTCCAAGTGCCTCTCCAGTGGATGGAGCTGGAGCCGTTCTCAAGGTCTGTGAGTGTCTTGTTCGCTCCGTTGTTCTCCAGGGAAAATGCATGTTGCAGATTCCCTTTGCATGAGAGGTGCTCGAGCATTTTCCTTCTGGACTCACAGCTCTGGCCAGCTTTCACAAATCCTTGGTGAACCTTTCAAGAAACCCTCACGCTGTGAACAGGTGAGGTCTGAGAAGGCATTTTCAGAAGGCTACAGATTCCTGTAGGATGGATTTAGGAGCCTCTACAGCTAACAGGCACTTCAGGACCTCTGTGGGATTTTGTCCTCTGGATTAATGACAAAATGAACATTTGTTCAACGCCAAAATAGGGCACTAGTGCCCTAGAGCCAAAGCGGCATAAAATACAGCATCCAATGGCCCCTGGATTTCATGTAGCCCTTGAGAAATGCTTTCCAAAGCCTGGGAAGTGTTTCTCTTCTCTTCAACATTTCTCTTGGGAAAATGTTGAAAATGGAGGATTTACATTCCCCACACTGTACCACACTGCTGGTGGCAATCCACCGTAACCCCTCTGCGGTGCTTGTGTGACACGAAGGGAACGTCACATGTCCAGTGAATTTCACGGAGACCTTCAAGCTTTCCCCTGCTTCCTGGTGAAGGATGAAGGAGGGAGGAATATATCAGCTGTGCAGAGATATTCCACTGGTTTGATTTAAAGTGCTTCTCCTACCACTTTCTCACCAAACCAAGCATCTAAGAACAAAAGTGTGACAGCCAGCTGACTGTCCCCCTTCTCTCCATTTGTAGAATCAAGCGTGGAGTGGGTTTGATCCCGCTGGAGTCTATGTCAAAAGACCATCAACTTAAGCCCTCAGTGGTACAGCTAAAATACTTGGATCTGCACTGTGGATCACTGCTGTATGTTTATAGTGGCAAAAGCCAGTGCCACAGCAGTTTCACACCATCACTGCTGTGTACAGTAAGTTGAGTTGTGGTCCTGCTGAGATCAGTGTGGCAAGACTCCAGCTGGCTACAAAAGGAGCAGGATCAGACTCACAATAAAAAAGACCAACTGGTGTCAGGTTTCCTTTCCTAATTATACCAAACTGTGCTCTTTGCTGATCTCTTTCATCCAGACGAGAGATGATAATTTCGCTGTGCCCTTGTTGCCTGCTGAGCTACGGCAGAGCAACTAGTGAAGAAAACACAACTTGCCTCAGAACGGAAAAACAATTGACATGAATTTTTAATGGGTGTTTTTATTGACAATTAGATATTTATGGTAGCCTGGGAGACAGAAATGGTAATATTTTCCAGCTTTTGAGGAGCTTCAGATAAGGCAATCTTTGTATAACGTGCTTTTAAAGCCCTTCTGCACTGAGCAAGTCTCATGCTTTCTTACCCTTCATGAGCTCCTCTCTGCAGAGAGAAATGCCAGCTGGAGATTCAAAGGACGGGCTTTCAGCCTGCCTGATTCCTGAAGGATGTTGGACATTAGGAAAAACTTCTTTACTGAGAGAGTGGTCAGGCCTTGGAACAGGCTGCCCAGGGAAGTGGTGGAGTCCCCATCCCTGGAGGTATTTAAAAGACGTGTAGATGAGGCGCTTAGGGACACGGTTTAGTGGGCATGGTGGTGTTGGGTTAACGGTTGGACTTGATGATCTTAGAGGTCTTTTCCAACCTTAATGATTCTATGATTCTATGTGGAAGAGATATTGTTCTTCTCTTCCACTCCTGAACTCCCAAATCCTGGCCTCAAAATCTGCTGATCTTTCAAGAGCTAGTGGAGGCCAGATGTGGAGATGTGTGGGAGCTTAGTGCCTCTGCTTTCTCTCCAAACATGAGGACTTTGGTTGCCTCCTGAAAGCTTTCCCAAGGGAAAGGGTTTGGCTGTTGTTTGGGGAACCGGTTAGCGTTAACTCACCGTGCAATTTCCTGTCACTTGTGAGATGGTGAATAAGCTGAGGAAAGTAGGTGGCCCCACTTTTTCATATACTGTAGCGAAATTGGGATCTTTAGGATATAAGAGCGTGGAAAGTTTTCAGACGGACTGTGATTTAAAACAAATATCTCACCGCCCAGTGTTTTAGCCTAGAGGAAGAGGTTTGAACCTGCGTACTTTGCTAGGGGTTTACATGGCTTTTCCACTGGTGCCTTTTTTAACCTGTGTAAAACTTCCCTGCAAGAATTTGAGGTGCAGAACCTCGTCAGAATGAAAAAGAGATTGTCCATCTTTACTTTCACTGATGAAGCCAATGTTTTGCCCACTGTAAGTGGGACAGGTGAGTGACAGTGCATTTGGTTACAACCATCAGAAATGCTGATGAAGCTTGGTAAGGGAGCAAATGAAAAGCTGGAGCTGTATCATTGGGTTTGAAAAGATCTCTTTTCTGTCTTTAGACCAAGTCCGAAACAGCTACTACATCGGCGCTGATGGCTCTCTCAGACTGATGCTCGCTAACGGCATGGAGGTGGCCCTGCAAACTGAGCCGCATCTGCTGGCTGGCACCGTCAATCCCACGGTGGGCAAGAGGAATGTCACCCTGCCCATCGACAACGGCCTCAATCTCGTGGAGTGGAGGCAGAGGAAGGAGCAAGCGAGAGGGCAGGTCACCGTCTTTGGACGTCGGCTGAGGGTAAGTGAGAAGCGTGAGCAGTTTTGGACTTTACTTCCCATTTCATCAGTCCCCAGTCTCATGACAGAAAGGGACAGGGCTGATTTGTATTGTCCGCGATAGGGATGAGGCTGCAGGACAGAGAACTAGCTGTTCATCCTCAGTGACACAACCTTTATGGCTTAAATATATCCTTATGTCTCCTTGTGTGCTGACGTTCTCTTAGCCATCACAGGTAGTATTGCTGATTTGCCTACGAGTCCTCTGCATCACTGGGAACACGTGACCTCCCATCAGACACCGCAGGTTTAACCATCACGTCAGGCTGTTTAAGCAAGCAAGGGACGATCATAACTATAAAATACTGCACCAATTAGTATAGATTTTTTCTGCCTGTGCTGCTGGCAGTAATAGACCTGAGCACTGAAAGCTTTCTAAGCATATGAGGACAGGCTGAGAGAGTTGGGGTTGTTTAGCGTAGAGAAAAGAAGGCTCCAGGGGAACCTTATAGCAGCCTTCCAGTACTTAAAGGGGGCCTACAGAAGAGATGGGGAGGAACCCTTTATCAGGGAGTATAGTGATAGGACGAGGGGTAACAGTTTTAAACTGAAAGAGGGTAGATTTAGATCAGATATTAGGAAGAAATTTTTTACTGTGAGGGTGGTGAGGCACTGGCACAGGTTGCCCAGAGAAGCTGTGGATGCCCCATCCCTGGAAGTGTTCAAGGTCAGGTTGGACGGGGCTTTGAGCAACCTGATCTAGTGGAAGATGTCCCTGCCCATGGCAGTGTGTTGGCCTAGGTGATCTTTAAAGGTCCCTTCCAACCCAAACCATTCTATGATTCTATGATTATTGTTGACTGGGCAGCCTCAGAAAAATCTCTAGATTCCTGAAACTTGCTGATCTGTTGAACCTGTTGAAGAGCTGGGCTCGCAGGGCATTGCATCGCAATTGCCATTCTTCCCCAAAGCGAAGTGTTATAAACAGCTCCAGCCTGATGGTACTCTCTCCTCCAGGAGCGCATGGTCCTTTCTGTGCTTGAGACTGATGTGTTTTGAAAACTTTGTTCCGCACAATGCACCGCAGACTTGTCAGGGCTGTTTAAAGATCTTGCCCAATAAGCCTGTAATTCCTCTGCTAACTGCTGGCAAGGCTGGTAACGTGTAATAGCAAGTCCTGCTCAATCACCTTGCTAGTCTCAGAGTCACGGGCTGATGAGCGGTTCCTGGGAAGCTGCTCAGCACCTGGCAAATTCAGACCCTCTGAGAAAAATGCTTAGCGCTGTGTAATGTCACCGTAGCGAAAGGACTGCAGCTATTTATTCGCACTTAAGCTTTGCAGTAAATATTAATGCTCTGGTTTCAGAATATGTGTTTCCCAGTCCTTGCTCTTCACCTCTTCCTATTCCCTGCTGCATGACCCCTGCCACCTTGGTGTGATTTCTCCCGTCTCTCCTCGCTCACACTTGTCAAGCATTGCTCTTTACCCTCCCCAACCCAGCCTCTGTTCTTTTCCCCTTGCG